AGTCTCATTGGTTCCCCCAGGCTCTATCAAACCAGCAAACCTGGTCCTTTTTTTTTTTTTATGATTTTGTATTTTATTCCACATTGTTCTCTCACTCTATCCAAGATCCCCCTCCAAGTGGTTGACAGTGGTAGTCTGGCACTATGTAGTTCTGGTCTCATGGTCATATATGCTGAGGATAGCATGGTCTACCATTTTCTTGGAATAATTGTTTCCATGCATCTTTAGTTTTCTTCATTCTTTGCTCTGGATGAGGAGAGAACCATTGTTGTATCTAGATGCCCACTTGTAAGCTTTTAAGACTCCAACTCACTACTCACCAAAGTAGGATGTAGAACAATGTTTTCATGTGGTATATGTTATACCCATTGAGGTTGATGTCCCCTGTGACCATGGTCCCAAGCCCACAGGTCCAAAAACTCTTTACCTCTGGGTAGTTGGCTGCGGCCAAGAAGCCACCACAACCTCGTTCCTTGTCAGCTCTGCTATACACCTAGACATTGTTATAGCACACTCTGCTATACACCTAGACATTGTTATAGCACATACACATATGCTCGTAGAAACGTTGTCTGCTAACTCTATACATGGTCATGGGCACGCTCCCCACTGCCTAGACAGACCTGACCATTCAGCCTGTCTACCCACTGATCTACCTGTACATCAATGCTTGCCATCACTAACAATGCAGTACTGTACATGCAGAAGAGTTCATCTTTGTTGTCTGAATCTCCCATGTAACTCTCTCAGTGCCACCGTAATGATCACTTAGTTTTGGCACATTGCTCTTCTCTTCACCCAAATCAATACTTGTCTCCTTCTATCTAGCAGTGTTCCTTCCTCTCCCCTCCCACCTCTGGTAACCAACAAAGTAAGGCTTCCTTGACTTTTTACAAAAGTGAACTAGTACAATATTTGTCCTTCTGTGATTGACTCATTTCACTCAGCATAGTGTCCTCTAAGTTCATCCACATTATGTGACATTTCACAGATTGTACATTATTCTTTAGTATTACATAGTAAGACTAATAGAAATTTTTACAAACTGTGTTGATTACATTATATTTCTATAAGACAATACTGATACAGACATTTTTCTTGGAAATTGATATAAATGACTTGACTTGAATTTCTTAGAGAAAGAGTTTGGAAACTTAAAGTAATTATGTTGTTGTTAGGTGCTGTTGAGTTGGCTCCAACTCATAGCTACCATATGTACAACAGAATGAAACACTGCCTGGTCCTGTGCCATCCTCACAATCCTTGCTATGCTTGAGCCCATTGTTGCAGCCACTGTGTCAATCCATCTTGTTGAGGGTATTCCCCTTCTCACTGACTTTCTGCTTTACCAATCATGATTATCTTTTTCCAGGGAATGATCTCTTTTGACAACATGACCAAAGTAGTTGAGACAAAGTCTGGCCATTTTTGCTTCCAAGGAACATTCTGGTTGCACCTCTTCCAGAACAGATTTCTTCATTCTTCTGGCAATCTATGCTATATTCAGTATTGTATGGCAACACCACAATTCAAAAGCATCAACTCTTCAGTCTTTATTCATTGTCCAGCTTTCACTTGCATATGAGGCTACTGAAAATACCATGGCTTGGGTCAGGCAAACGTTAGTCTTCAAAGTGAAATCTTTGCTTCTTAATACTTTAAAGAGGTCTTTCACAGCAGATTTGTCCAGTGCGATATCATGACTGATTACCTGACTGATGCTTCCATGGATGTTGATTGTGGATTCAGGTAAAAGGAAATCTCTGATAGCTTCAGTCTTTTCTCCATTATCGTAACATTGCTTATTGGTCCAGCTGTGAGCATTTTTGTTTTCTTTTGTATAATTTTTAATTTTTTTATTATTATTATTGCAGTGTTTTCTCCACTCTGCTCCCACCCTTGGTAACTAACAAAGAAAGTTTCCTTCTGTATGTAAACCTTCCCTTGACTTTTTACAATAATGAACTCATACAGCTTTTATCCTTAAATGATTGACTTATTTCACTCAGCATAATGTCCTCCAAGTTCATCCACATTATGTGATGTTTTGCAGATTCTACATTATTCTTTAGTGTTGCATAGTATTCCATTGTGTATATGTACATAGTTTGGTTATCCTTTCTTCTGTTAATGGGCACCTAGGTTGTTTCCGTCTTTTTGCTATTGTAAATAGTGCTGTGATGAATATGGGTGTGCATATATCTGTTCTTGTTCTGGCTCTCACTTCTTTAGGATATATACCTAGTAATGGGATTGCTGAATCAAATGATATTTCTGATTCCAACTTTTTAAAGAATCGCCATACTGCTTTCAACAGTAGTTGTATCATTTTACAGTGCCACTGGCAGTATATTAGAGTCCTAATATCTCCACACCCTTACCAGCATTTGTTATTTTCTGTCTTGCTGAACTTTGCTATTAGTGCTAGGGCCAGATGGTATCTCTTGGTTGTTTTGATTTCCATCTCTATAGTGGTCAATGGGGAGCTCTGGTAGCATAGTGCCTAAGGCACTTGACTGCTAACCAGAAGGCTGATAGTTCAAACCCAGCAGCCACTCCTCAGAAGGAAGGTTGGGCAATCTACTTCCATAGTGATATTGTCTCGGAATCCCAAGGAGGGGTCGCTATGAGTCGGGTTCAACTCTACGGCACATAGCAACAACAGCAACAATGGCTAATGATCATGAACATTTCTTAATGTGTTTTTTGACTGCCTGAATATGTTCTTTGGTGAACTGTTTATGTCTTGTGCCCATTTTTTAATTGGATTGTTTATCTTCTTGTTGAGGTGTTGGAATTT